TGTTTCGTACGAAAAATTGCTGTAATCTGACCGGCTTTTTCTGTTTGTCCTAATTTAAATAACACGGCACAATCGGTTTTATTTTTCTGTTCGAGTAGAGTATCAATGGTAAATCGAACATCTTTTATATATAACGTCGAAAAATACTCAATGAGGTTGTTTTCACTCAATTTTTTTCAAAAAAGAAAAAACTCAAAGTCCGCATAGTATATCTGATATAGTTAGAGGCTAAGTTTCTCGAAGCAACTTTTTGCCAGGACTTCAATGGCAGTCTCAGAAAATCTTGAAAATATTTCTGAACCGAAATAAGTACCTATTTTGGTTTCGAAAAACTTGAAATTAATTTACATTAATTTTTTTTGTAATTATTTACATTAATTTAGATACAAAAATTCGTTCGGATTAATTTTTGATTTGAAATTAATTTCAGAAAATCATTAATTTGATACTGAAAATCAATGTAAATTAATTTATAGACTCAAATTCCTTTGCAGTGCTGTAAACAAAATTAATTTCTGTTCGTAAATTAATTTAAATCAATTTGTAATAACTAATTCACTCAAATTGATTTAGAAAACATTTGCCGAAGTTAATTTCAAATCAAAAATTAATCTGAACGAATTTTTGTATCTAAATTAATGTAAATAATTACAAAAAAATTAATGTAAATTAATTTCAAGTTTTTCGAAACAACAAATGAATTTAAATTAATTTGGCCACCTAAATTGATGTGAAGTAATTTTTCATCTTTTTTTGGGTCAGAAATTACTGTGCATTAATTTAAAATTATTTAAAAGTTCCAGTGGGGAGCTATGCATACTAAAAGCTCCTGAAAAACAATCATTACTGAGTGTTCGAGTCTAGTGCAGTTCGAACTCATGATCTCAGAAATTTCTGCGCCACGTCCACAATCCATATGGATCGGACTGTGGATATAGCTCAGTTCATACATAATTTTGGTGTCCACTCAGACTTGAACCATCCAAGCGGAGCTAAAAACGTATAATAGCTTGTAAGTCAATAACACTGCAAATGTTCTGTTCGGACTTCCGGCTAGCTATCATATCCGCCGCGACACATCAGATCCAGGAGTTGCTTTATGGATAGCTCTTCTGTCATGGTTGCAAAAAATGCATGGATTCCGATGCGTAATTGTTTCATGCGTAAGCCAATATATCATATGTCGTAATTGTTATTTGTCAACAGTGCAGAGAACAGCAAAAATGATATTTAAAACAGAAAAAGAAACATACTTTGTTCTACAACCATCGTGACTTTATTCTAATTGCTTATTGAACAGCTGGATTGTCAACTTCGTTTTAATGAGCAAGAAAAGTTATTTATCAAAAAAGTAAAAATTCACAAATATGAGCAAATCTTAGCATAAATAATAGCTCAGAAATTTATCACTTATATAATTAGTAATCGTAAGGATGTCAGTTTGTTTCTAAAATATTTGTTCATAATAAGAGTTATTTTATCATATATGAGGGTCGTAATCGATATAGTCATCTTTCCATGTAGGTTCAAAGCCGGCTGGTAATGCTGGTACATCTGATGGATAGAGATGTTTATCATATGTTGCATCTTTCATACCAGTTTTGCTATAAAGATTAATAAGAACATGTCTAACTACCATCCATGCTCGACGTTGTTCAGGTGGGGCTAGATTCTCACTGTCAGTTTTGTCAAGTGATGCATGACTGTCTAGATCATTATACCATGCTGGATGCTTTTGATTGTAATAACGTTGAATTGGATCTATATATGTATCGTCGCCGATGTGCATTTTGGCTGTTTTCCATTTATGATAACACAATCTTGTTAAGGGAGTATTTGATGGATGAAATCTCATTCCAAAGAACATACCAGCAATATGATGTGTGCTGGCATGAGCTTCTACTTGGATCCGTGGTGGTTTCGGACAATTACAGACACTGTCAGCGGGACAACTACATACATCCGGCATTTGTTCTACCCATTCTCTTTCATGTGGTATTTCTTTACTACACTTAGCACCGCACCCAGGACATCGAGCTTCGCAACCTAGACGTCCAGTTAAATGTGGTTTACAACCAGCAAATGCTTTAGCCTTCAATCCGCTTGTAATAATTTGAGCTTGCTGTTGAACTTTATTTAAATTTTCCAGTATATTTTTAAAACCAGATTTAAATTGATCAGGTGCAGAAATAGGTAATGGTACAACATCTGTCAGTCGAAAACGATTTTCTTGTTGAACAACTGCTAATTGTGGAATATTTGCAATATATTTTCCAATATCGTTATTCACAAATTGTACGTCTTTACATTGACTTGATTGTACAATATCGTTTGCTACATTAAGTACTTGAATAATAAGTTCTTGTAGAGAAAGTGTATGATTATGTGTAACAGAAATGATTGTTGTTCTAACTTCTTTCAAACTCAATTCTAAGAAATAACGATTAATATCGAACACATATTTTAAAATGTTTTCACCATTAGCCTGTTTAATACTTTGTTCATAGGCTTGTATTTGTATTTTATCATGGTTAATAAAGTGACTTTTAACAATATCTTGTTTAATATTATTTAATACGTTGTCTAACAGTATACGATCAAGTTCTTTGAAAATTTGTTCACTGACATTAGTTGCTAATAATTTTCCTTGTTCAAATGAATCTTCCATAGCAGCAAATTGTTTAGCAACATTATCTTTAGCTTTATGTGCTTCTTTTAACGCTTTATCTAATTCAGTTCTATAATTTTCATTTTCAATACGTATAGCTTCATCAATTACAGTTTTTAATGATATAACAGCGAAATCATTTGCAATAGCTAGAATATCTAAATATTTATCATAGTTCATAATCGATTCCTTATTTATCATATTTTCTGTATTAGCTAAAACAGCTATTAATGTTTGTGGATCAGAATATTTATTTTGACGTACTAATTTTAATATCTGTTTATTTAATTCTGGTAATAAATCTTGACATATCATTTCAAAGATATTTTTAACTTTTGTTTCAGATGTCATACCCGTAAACCATCTGATTTTTTTTCTTATTGTATTCAATACTTCATCTGATACCATTCTTTTTGATAATGTTGTAATACTGTTTCCTCTCGATGAGACATGAAGTTGTGTACCAGAATATGGACGAGCTAGAGCGTTTTCCATTTGATTCCAAATAGGACCAAGTTTTGCGCATTCAAGTACGTATTTATCATATTGTAACGGTTCTACACGATTATAAATGCTGCCTTTTATTGCATTTGCTGCTTTTCTATCAAGTAAATTAGTATAAATTTTTAGTACTTTTTTTGTAATATCTTCAGGTGACTTCCGTAATGCTTCTAAATTATTTTTACAATGTGCAACTGCAGCTGCATAGTCTTGCCCAGCACGTTTTTGCATTTCTTTTATTCCCATATGTTTATTCTGTTCAAAATTACACTGTGCATCATACATTAATTTTCTATTTGTGTCTTGAAAAAGAATATTTTGTACTACCGAATGTAGTCTGTCACCAAATTCTGTTCTTACCATATATTTTGTGCTTTTCATTGGAGGTCCCATGAGTTTGATAGCTTTTTCTTTTGCTTCCGGTAAATAACAACTTCTTTCGGTTTTCTGCTTAAATTCATTTATAGCATCACTGACGAATCGTTGATGTATTCCATTTAGTGTTACTTGAAAGGCTTCACTAATATGTGAACGATATTCGCTTGATACAACTTGTTTACCTGCTGTTATCTCTGTTAGAACGATATTAATTTGATGTTGTCCTTCTCTTAACAAAGCATCATTTTTTTCTTGTACAATTTCATGGGCTATATCTCGTAACTCATTTTGAATTGATAATTCATATAATGTTTTACATGCCAGTAAACGTGGGCCTAATTTATCAATTGAATCCCAATTGTTGTAAATTTTGGTATAAAGTTGGGCCATATCACAGTAAGCTGGTTCTGTTTTCTTACTAGTTTCATGAAGACTTTTAAAAATTACGTCACGTAAACCAATAATTTCAGTCGGAAATGTTTGATTTCGCCAATTAAGTTTTGTATTAAGAACAGAATCCATATCAGATGAAAATGCATTTGGCAATAAGACAACATTATTTTCTTCGATTTCTAATTCTTCATCAATAGTAGCTTTCAAAAATTTTGTATCTTTATAAAGATTTTCTTTTAATTTTGCTAATTGATTATAAAATATATTCGTTGCTTGGCAATCGGCTTGATCTCGAAGAACAAATAGAAGTTTTGGTTTTAATGGTGAACGAATTTGTAATTTTGCATAAAAACTCATACCAATTAAATGTTCTAAATTTGTACTAAATTCACCCTTGTGATTGATAAGAACAAGATGAGATGTAATCATAGCCATTGAAACCATTTGATTATCAAATATTGAACCAGATTCTTCAAGTGATAACAATCCTTCTGTATCAAGGATAACAATTGTATGCGATTTCCATTGGACAACACTTAAATAAATACCAATCGTACATCGACCGGAACTTGTACGAAAATTACATCCAAAAACGGCATTGAGCAGTGAACTTTTTGCTGAACTTTGTTCACCAATCACCGTTAGTACATAAGGTGGAAATCCTGACTGTCGCACATAATTCAAACATCGTTGTAAAAGTTTACTTTGACATCTTAATGGTCGACCTCGAAGAATATGAAATGGATAACCTTTATACATTAGTTGTGTCATTTTTTCCGCAATATTATCAAATAAACTATCAACATTATTGAATAAGCTAGGCAAGAGTTCATACAATGCCAATATTTCATCAACATAAAGACCAATAGTTAAGTCAATATTTGTTAATTTATTTTCAATAGCTTTTATTGATTGACGACTTGCAGCATATTTTGTTTGTAAAATTGTTAATTCATTTTGTAAACTATCTAATTTTACTTGATTATTGGATTTTTTTTGTTCGTGGGATCGCGTTTCTTCAAGTCGTTTAATATCAGCACCATATTTGATTCCTTCATTTTTAATAGTCACTGTTTGTGCTTTCAAAATAGGTTCATATTTTGATCGCCATTGTTCAAGATACTTTTCTGTCATTAGAAGTTCAACAAACGAACGTTTTGTTAACAATTCAATAAAAAAAGCGGCATATTGATTTATACTGTAAATAGATCGACGTTTAACTGATAATGCTTGCAATTTATTTTTGACTTCATTTGAAAGCATTTCTAAATTTTCTGATAATTCTTTTTCACAGTGTCGTATTTCTGAATCTAAATAACTGACTGGTGTTGTCAGTAAAAGATTTTCTGTTTGAGCAGATAAATCTCCAAATAATTTTTGTAATCGTTCTTCTATTTCAAACCGACAATGTGGAGCTGTTTCATTTGTTCGTTTTACGAAATACGATTGTATGGCAAAAATAGATCGACAGGGATATTGTTGTTGTTTGATTTTGCTTTCCAGGGCTTGCATTGATTCATCAAGTGATTGTCGTAAACGTTTAGCTCGTCGCGATTCTTGAAATTTTGTTGTGGCTACGTTTGTTTGTGAAATAGGAGCTGTCATCCAACAAACAGATGGCCATTTAAGTACAATCCATCTAAGACGTCTAGTAAATTTGAAATTCGTATTAAATCTTTGGTGTATTTTTGAATGATATAGAAAGTATACTGTGTTAATTCACATTCGATCACAAGAGAAATCTACTCCTTCAATTTTTATATGGTGTATACGGCTTGGATGACTCTCTAAAAAACCTTGGACGACATTTTAAAACCTAAAAAGGGTTCGGGAAATTACAAATATACGGAATCATTTTTAGGGCTTACCAAGGGTTTTTCACCTGCACTAAACCCTTTTTAAATTTCAGTTGGAAACGAAATATTTATCTTTTAGAGGATAGTTTCTCGTATTAAAATGATATTATATTTGCTTATAATTTGGGCATTTAACGATTCTGATCTCATATAGAGAAAGAAAATGAATGGGTATAATAACGGGAGAAAAATTGTGCTAAGGAAGCTTTCTGTGAAACAACAATAGTCACTTCTTTATTATGCTGTAAAGTGGAAAGCAGGAAAAGATTGTGCTTCATCGGTTGTAAGGTAGACTTCACAAAAGGATTTCTATCTCTTATGGCTCTTGAGTCTGGCAAATTACAAAGAAAAGCACATAGAGTTAAAGTATAGGATAGAAAAAGAGAATTATTCAAGTTGCACTAATGTGATATTCTGACTGATTGTTATGAACGTTCACGAACCATGATTGAGATATTTCAGCAGTTTATGTGCTTTCTAAAAGAATAAGTAGTTATAAAAACCCGAATGGTCTTTTATTCTTGCTTCTAAGCGCAAAAGAGTACAGTAGCGTTGCTGAATTTTTAAGTATTTTTTCGTTAAGTATTTTTTTAAATACTTTTTGGAAAAGTATTTTAAGAAAATAAAGATTTTTTTATCAATGTCACAAAGCCCTAAAGGTATTCTGTTTCAGGTACATTTTTTAGTTCTTGACCAAAATAGTTTAGGAATTGAATTGAACAACCCTTGGGATCTAGCAGCAAAAATGAAAAACGCTTTTGGTTTTTCAACATAATAAAAGGTTTTATATGTCGCAACCCTTTGGGTTTAGTAGCGAAAATAGAATACTTTTAGGGATTTGTGACATTGATAAAAAAAACCTTTATTTTCTTAAAATACTTTTCCAAAAAGTATTTTAAAAAATCAAAACGGTTTAGTAATGATCCAAAATCCTCAAATGATTTCTCAAGCGTGCTACTATACCCTTTTGAGTTTAGAAACAAGAATAAAAAGCCGTTTGCGTTTTTTTATAGAGCCCTACGAAAAGTTTAGGCGTAAATGTGACAAAAAAATATCATTAATTTAATGGCGCGTCTACAATGTGTTAATTAGGCACGAACTACGGTACATGGAAGGTCTCAACGGGCATAACTTGGCACTTAAACTTGTCGTCTCAATTCGGCGATGAAAAATGGTTAATTTACCCGACTGAACTGGTTCCTTTTCATCACAAGTTTGAGCGCTGCTAAAAGCACTTCTTATATGTAATGATAGTGAAAATTGCATAGCGAATATTTTTTTCTTTATTTTCACAGAATATCACTATAAAAATGCAAAATCAAATTCACTTACCCGCTGTGAATATTATTTTTTTATTTTAATTTCTAGAATTACTTTGGCAATATATTGCGAATGGTTTTTAAGAATTAGAAGTGAAAATATGTCTATTACATACGACTTAATACAGTAACATCTAGAATAAATAGATTTTTTTAAAACGAAAGTCAGAGAAGCTCGTGAATGGTATCCCAAGCGGATTTAATATAAAATTCTTAGACGGTTATGTAATTTTCGATGCGCGATTCAATCATATGTAAATTATTGCAGTTGATCAATGGATCATAACTGGTAAAAACCAGTAGGAGACCGGCCTCAGATACAGTGCATGTTGTAATACGAGTGTAAAACTACAAAAGAAATATCATAAAGAGCTCGCCGACATCTCGTTTTGTAGGAAAATGTTCGCTTCACACCTGTAATGACTCAAAAGAAGTTTGTATGTCTTTGAGATTTGTAACAAAATTTAGAAAAGTAAGAGAATGATGAAACCTATGCCTATCTTCAATATTTGATTTACAAGTGCATCATGGTAGTGTTTTAAAATGTTCTATTATATATGAATCGATGCAGAATTACTCTACAAAATGAAGTAAGATTTATTTTGGTACTGCCATATGCATGGTCTATATTTAAAAAGTACCGAAAAACACGCAGTTTTAGAAATATGGAATATTTCAGTTTTCTATTATTTAGTCCAAGATGGTTAAACATATTATTATGTCTAAATACATGATCTTATAGAGTAAACATCCCTCTTTCAAATGAGCCATTAATCAACCATAGGAATTTGAAAATTTTCAGCGATTTATTAAGGCATTGTAATGGCGCTGTAAAAACTTCAGTTAAAAACGAAAACAAAGCGATGTTTTTCGAAAAGACTCTTATGCTAAAGTGCATATATTATTTATACATAAAAA